ATCTGACTGAAGACTTACAATACAAGTAAAATCAGATTTAATGATTAACGTGTTTTCTTTTTACATTAGGTTATGGCATTATATTTCTTATAAGCTGTCTTCATAGTATCTTGAGGTTTGAGAGCTGCAAGTTCTGAACAAATATATATTTGGGGAGCCGAAGACGAAAGCATTCCATGCAGATTTTTAAAAATATTTTTAATTTAATAATAACCGTACAATGCATGAAAGAGATATTGTCTCCAAAGGAGAAACTTATGCATTCTTTTTCACTTTTTAAAAAATATAAATATTATAAAATGTAATAAATGTTTTTTTAAAACAAAATATTATTGTTATTATTATTAGTTAAGCTGAAGTTAACGATTAGTTTTAGTATTATTTTCTTAAATAGTGTTTGACTCTAGTCAACAGTTCTCTTAATTACTTTAAACTAATTGCATGCAATTAGGGAATGGAAGTGCATGGTGATACAGTTGTATCAAACAATCGATATTATTTTTATCATATATATTTTGTTTAATGTTTTTACCCAAAAGAAGAAGAAAAATCACGGTGAGGACTGAGAACCGTACCTTGCTGGATTTTAGGTTTCATTTTAGTGACAAAGAGTATAAAGGAGAAAGATAACCTCTTTTTTCAAGTGAAGATAATGAAAGGTAAAAGTGGTGGACATGGAGGACTCAACAAGAATCCCAATTGTTTTACATTAGTTTTATATATATATATATATATATATATATATATATATATATATATATATATATATATTCTAAAAAAACGCCTTATTTGTTTTCTTTCTCTTTTACATTAATTAATATTTTATTAAGAATGTAAAAAGGAGATATTAAAAAAATAATAAAATAAATATTTTTAATTCAAATTAGAAATAATATGTGTTCGAATTTTCCCATGTTATCTCATTATTATTGTTATTATATTTTTGTTATTTGTTTATTATTGATTTACAATAGTTACATTTTACCTTCGATATTGTTCTTTTGTTCCATTTTATATCTTCACCCAACACCTTGCAAAGCTGCAATCGACGCAATTCAATTAATTTTGAATTTGATACAAACCCATGTTACCCCAAAAGTTTATTAGAATATTAAACATGAATCTTAGAGTAAATGATGTTTTGAATGTAAAATAAGTCAACCTGCCTACTATAACACTGAGAAAAGAATATTATAATAGGCGTCTCTTTGGGTTAATTACTTTATTATATGTTGGAAATAATTAGTTTTTCATATAATAAAAACATATACAAGTATTTTTAAAAACAACATAAACTACCGAAAATATACAAGCATACCGAAAACAAATTAGAAGAAACTAAACGTAATATATGAATTGTATTTTATATATAGCTTAATATGCATTTAGATGAAGATGTCACCCGTTTAATAGTTGGATTAATTAAAATTAATATTTATAAATATTTATTAAGTAAAATAACTTTTATCAGAATTCAAAAAAAATAAATTTATATCAATTTATTTAAATAAAAAACTAATTAATATTGCATTAGATTATTTCATTTTATTGTCTAATATATTTTTTAAAATAAAAGTAAACATTGACTATATAATTACAAATAAATAAAATATATGATTAAAATTTGATATGGACAATCAATATAATATTATTCAGTAGTTAAATTGATAAAATTTCATATTTATAAAAATTTTTTAAATAACTCTGACAAAAGTTGCTCCTAAAGTAATTTCACAAGAAACTATATATGTTATTTGATCCTATATTTGTATACATAACACAACTCAATTAGTCGTAAATATAGTTAAAAAAGTAAATATTATATATTTTTAACAAACTTATACCTATTAAATAAAAAGTAAAATCTACATAAATTTTAATTATTAATAAATTTGTTAAAAATATCTTATTTTTACATTAAAAAAGTTATCTTAATAGTTTGCCAAAAAACTGTAAAAGAAATATTTTTTAAGTTAACTAAACTGTGAATATATGTATAATAATTTAAATATCCAATAAACATGAAAACGTATAGGTAAATATGATTTTAAAAAATATGGGTTCAAGAGAATATTCCAATATCGATCCTAGCTAATTCTTATTTAATGCTAACCTTTCTCATCACTTATAATTAGACAAAATTAAGATCAATTAACTTTAATTGAAGACATAATAGGCTAAGATTCAATCTGCAGCAATCACAGCAAGTTTAAAAACATGCAGGCCAACCACTTAAATTGGTTATTTACGCCTACGTTCTGCATTGTGATAAATTCTTTGTTTTTATCCTTTGTGTGGTATTGTAGTCCTATAACTTACGTACCATGGTGTAACTATTAACGATTGCACTATTTTCTTTTGAAGAGAACTATTACATTATTGTATATATGTCTGATCCATGATTAAAAAACAAGGTTATCTGACATTTTTCAGTTATGAGGTCACATTCTAATCGTGATTCCTTTCATATTCATAATTAAATAGTGAAGATCGAACTTGAAAAACTAGACCAGAAAGTCCAACTTAAAGACGGCAAAGAATGGAGCATCGTGAAAGATAAAGAGGGTGAGTTGTTGTGTGTGTCGGAGATTCAGGAATGCGACAAAAATGTCCAGAGAAAATCTTCAGAGGAAGATAAAATTAGAGATTAATGGAGGAATCAAAGAAAAGAAAGAGAAAGAGACATACATATCCAGCATTTGTAAATACACACAGAGAGAACCATGTTAAAAAAATATGCTCGTGTTTAGGTGAATAAATTAATTAAATAATTGTTTGATAAAAGTTCAATTATAATTTTAACTTGAAATTTATTAAAATTAATAAATGAAAATATTTAATTAAACTTTATATTAAATATTACAAAAGAAAATAAATCACACTTTTTAATATATGTATTTATTTTATTTCTTTAATCAATGTACGTAAAATACTAATTAATATTTATTTAATTATAAACAAATAGTTTCTTTATATAGACAGGAACTATACCTACCCTTCACCCCCATTGGATTTAACTTTATTTAAGGCTAAGAGATTACCTGTCTTTTAAAAAAATGTTTAATTATTCATTGCTTTGAACTGAAACACTTTTAATTTCTTTTAAAGATCACTGAAGCCAATATGGCTAACAAAAACATGGGTCAATATCCAATATGTTTCTGTGTCACCCCTAAACATCAATCTTCATGTTTCTACTGGATTTTCTTATGTAGTGGCCCTTAAAGTACTTAATGAGGCATGGATCAAGGGAGAAAAACAATTATAATGGTATTATCATATTAGGTATCAAAATAATTTGAGCCATATTTTAATTTCAAGTTGAGAGACTTTGCACTAGGCATATAAAGACAACGGCTTATCTCTCTCTGTATGTTTGGAAGAAGAAACAGTGTTTTCAATTATGTACTAATAATATATTAGTTTATATCTTGGAGAAAGAGTCACTCTTTCTGCGGGCATCTTAATCCATATACAGGTCATAAAAAAATGTGTTCGAACATTTTTTTTTTAATAATCTTGTACACAACAGAGAGAAATAAGATAAAAAAGGAAGAAGAAATAAATGCAAGATAAGATGTTTGATGTAAAGAAAAGAGATAAAAAAAAGTTACAAAAAATATTATATGAAAGATATAATCTATTGGATACAGAATGCCCCCATTCTGCCAAAATAAACTTTATGAGTGTCTTCGTGCGACTCATCTTAAATCCTATAAACATAACACGTGGGTGTGGAATAACAGAAGTGTCTGGGACATGATCAAATCAATATAAGAAGAGAGCCATACCCAAACAGAGACAGTTTCGTCTGGAACAAACAGCAAATTATGGAAGATATACCCCACAGAAAAGCTTAATGCACTTCAATTGTACATGCAATAGAGAGGTGCACAAGCAACAAAAGAGGGGATGTTACACTTCAGAATTTCTAAATTGAAAAGCATATTAATCTACGCATTTTCATAATATTCATATAAATGATTTATGTTGAGCTCCTTTTTTCCCAACTCTTACATATATCTGCTGTATACACGTATTTTTGTATGTTGATGAGATTTATATTTCATTCCACCAAGTCCCTCGTTACAATTTATATTAAAAGTTGCCTTGATTTTTCTGCATCTAATACGAAGAATCCTTTCATTTGTATATCTTTTGCTGAATCCGATTAATGATTGTAATTTCATCTGTGTATATGTATCTACAAAAGCACTAATACTTGTTTAAATTCGTTAAAAAAGGATAAAGAAATAACAAGCAGCCAGCATTTCTCGGATTAAACAATAATTACTAAGGTGATCTGGGCAGTAGCCCTATTCACTGTGCAACTACACAGGCAAAATCTCAGATGCAGAAGTTTTGAGCTCACAAGCCCTAACAGTGATTTCATTTTCTTCTCGAATAAAAAAAGGGGGAAGGGTGAAAGAAGAAGTAGCTGCTGATGTTTAAGCACCATCAATTCATGATAGTTTATTGAATACCGTAAGCTTGGAAACACAACTTCCATCCCATATGTATGACGATTCAAAACACCAACTTCATCATATATTTTGTAAGTCTAATCATTCGATCCCATCATATATTTAAACTAAAGCCATGAAGTGCATCAATAAAATAATAAAATAAAATAATAAAGAAACAAATAAAAATACAACCAAGAGATTTATAAAGGGGGAAAAAAAATACCAGACAGAGAACATAACTACTAAATTATTCATAAATATATTTAAAAGATGCCATGATCATCTTTTTTATTCAAAACACAGAAGCAAAAGAGGGGGAAAAAAAGTTCATGATCCATATACATCGATAAAAATAAGCATGCTTGCTAGCTTCCTCTCTCACATGTTCTTCACAACTATATAATTAGTACTCTAACCTTGCAACTCTTTTCCAATTCCTATCCTTTAAAATACATCACAAGATCAACGTAAGCAGATTTGAGTTTGATCAGTAGATCTCTACCTCTCTCCCTCTCCCAACTTCTGACACATGATTCAGTACGGTGGCCGTCCATGAGCCCAAGCAAAAGTTTCATGCCCCACCTGTCCTCCTCCTCCTCCTCCTCCTCCATTTGGCATCAAATTTGGTGCCAAATTATACAAAGGAAGCGATGTTGGATCTGGGATCCCACTCTGCAACTGACCAACCCCACCGCTTCCAATTCCAGGCGGCGATCCTCCACCTTGTGCCGCAGCCGAACTAGGCCCCTCATCATCATCATCAAGTGGCAGTCTCTCGTACGTTGCATTAGCAAAAGTTGCAGCAATGACCATAACTGGTCCTGCTGCAACGAGAGAGCCAACCACGCTTCCTCCTATTACCTGGCCTTGTCCTCCGGCGAGGTACACGGTAAGTCCCGTGGATCCTGGGGGAGCAGGGCCAGGTAGAAAAGCCCCAGTTAGGGACAGAATTTCAAACCTTCCATGAAGTGCCACCACAGCACCAGGAGCAGCAGGTTGTCTTATAGTAACATTGGCCACAGAGCCACTACCACTGAGAACACAAACCCCACGTTGACGCCTCCTTGCGAACTGGGCTACACTTTCTGCAACATCAGCTCCTCCAGCTATCTCCATCACGTGGCTCCTGAGGGCATTTGGACTGTCTCTTGTCACAAAGATGGGTGGTTTTGGCTTGTTTTTGGATCCAGGTGGTCTTCCTCTTGGTCTGCGGGTTCCAACATCAACTGCACCCTCTTTAGGTTCATCTCTATTGTCTTCATCTTCTTCTCTATTATGACCACCACTGGTTTCGTTGATTGCAAGGTCTGTGTGGCGTTTGCTTAGGCCTGGTGAATGGGTTCCTGGGTCAACCCCAGATAACCCTCCCTGACCTGTCCACCAAGGATTTGCCAGTGTTGCAACTTGCTATAGCTATCGATCTCTGCAGAGATTAATTCAGGTTAAGGTAAAGAAAAATATATGTAGCAGTTCAGACTTCAGACCCACAAAGCAATTAAGCTCAATTGCTTTTAGCAGAAAACGCAAAATTGACCTTTGAGATATATACCTTCTTATTGCAAAGGATTGGTTTTGGTTTTAGGTTTGTGTCCCTAGTTTTTCTGCACCTATTGTAACCGTAGGAGAGGGGAGAAAAAAGTCAAACCCTCGAAGTTCATAAGAAACAAAGGGCTTCTCTTGCTCTTGATTTTCTCTCTAAGACCTAACACATGATGTTAGCTTGCTCTCATGGATGAGAGGCCAGAAAGAGGGTAAAGGAATGAGAGGTGCTTAGAGGAGAGAATTAGATTCAAATACTCAAAAGGAATCAAGTAAAGGGAATTAAAGAGTTGATCAAAATAATTGTTTCAAGAGGTGGAAAGAAGAATTCAAGATCAGACGATCAACAAGTACTCTCTCTCTCTCTTTTTAATATGTTTGTTTATTCTTTGGCTACTTATGAATGAAGAAGTGATCTAAGTGGACACAAGACGGAACAGATGCGAAACCTTTCACAGAATCAAGCACAAGGAGCAAATACGAGGGCAGAAACAGAGAAAAGAAAGAGAGAGAGAGAATTAACAAGACCAAAAGAGGAGACAATACTATCTAACAATAAGATATAGAAAGAGAAAGAACACAAAACTCTTTGGCAAGAACAAAGGAGCAGAAATGTTTTTGATTTGTTTTCTTTCTTGGCGTGAGCTGTGTTGTTATTTGGGGAGCTAATATATTTTCTCTCTTACTTTATTTTTATTTCTTACCAATCTTTGGTTGTTACTTCTCGTATTATAAAATGGGAACGAACAATAAGCACTGCTTTTAGAGGGTCTTGGAAATTAGGGTTTTGTGGGGTCGCGTGCGCGTGGCCAGGTGGGGAGCACGTCGTTTTCTCGGGGCCCGATACTTACCAACGTTACCAATGGAGAGAACGAGTCATGAGTGAGAGATAGATTAATTCTAGCAAGAAGAAGGAGAAGAAGAAGAAGCCATGTATAAATATGGGGAAGAATTTTTTTTAAAAGTCTAAAAGCTTTTACATTTAATCCTGGTTAGATATAAATTAAATAAAAAATTTAAATTTAGTATAAAAAATTTTAGACTTACAAGATTACAAGATTCTTCCTACTTCTATATATATATATAGGCACTGTCCATGCTAAATAAATGTTACTGCCCGGTTCGTCGTTTTCATTCTTTTATTTTGGTTAGTTCTTTCTACTTCCATTTCTAATATCCGTGGCTTTTATTTAGCTTTTGACATTCAAAAACATTATCATTTGTGGTTATGTAAATAGTAATCATTTGATGTTTTTTTAATAAATCACTTTGTAATACTCTTTTATAAGTAAAATGCAACTTTATTAAATAGAATATTAGGAGTACTATAATGCACTCTTGTACACATCCAAATTCACATTCAAACAATATATACTTAAAAAACGGCCAGAAAACATTTACAAACATGAACACGAGCAATCCAGGCCTTAGAATTTACTCACCATTCAAAAACAAACAAAGAGATCTCCTAGATATAGCTAAAAGCTACTTCCAAGAGTAATCGAGAAGAGATAAAAGATCATAGCAAACATTTCTAGAAACCAACTGATTTCTTATAGCCATCTCTCCTTATAATATGTTGTGATGCCATCTCCTCCTTAGAGAGTATTTGAAAAAGTTTGTTTAGGTTAGTAAAACTAGGTGATTTCTAACTTTTTAAAAGTTTTTTAGCTTATGTATGTCAAATAACTCCACAATTAATATTATGAGTAATCCCTCATCTAATAATAATTTATTAATAAGAGTTTAATTAAAGCATTTACCTAAATATGCCCTTTGGTCCGTAATGGCTACTGTGGAGAATTTGTGGGCTGTCCAAGTGTTTTGTTGGCATCAGGATTAAAAGTTAATTACCATGCAAGCAGCTTAATAGGATTGAATGTCGAGGATTCTTATCTTTCATTCTGCTTCAAAAATTTTAAAATGTAAAATTGGATGTTTAGCTTTTAGATATCTTGAACTGTGTATAGGTGCTAATAATAATAATAAAAAAAAAAAAAAACTACTTGGGCGCCAAGCTGTTAGATTCGTAATGGAAGAGACTTTTATCTTGAAAAAATATATTTATAATTGGGTGATGGCATTTCATTATTTAATTTTGTTTTGAACAACTTTTTTATTTATTTATTTTATCTTCTCTCAAACAAGGATGACAATGGGTAAAGTATTCAATGAGTATCTGCAAAATTTACTCTCAGCATGTAAGATATTTATTTGTTAAAAAAGTATGGGTATACGTATAAAGAAATACCTACAAATTTCAATGGGAATACATGCGAGTATGGGCATCTAAGTACTCACTCTGCCCCATACCCGCATGTAAATATATGGTACTTATCTAACTCATTTTTAATTTTTAAAAAGTTTTTGTGGATACTTTTGTAAAATTTTAGTCAAGATAAAGATTTCATTATTTATTTTATGTAATTTTATATCTTATGTTTTTTACTCAGTTCAAAGTTCTTTTATAAATCATTATTATTTTATTGTTTTGAATAGACAAATTTTCTATTTTAAATTTTTGAGTAATATTGTCTTTCAACTTATAATTATCTATTTTTAAAATTTTTTCTATGTAAAATAAAAGGTTAAAAAATTTAATATAAATATTTACATTACTCAAATAAAAGAATGCATATTTAAAGATATAAAAATTTATCTAATTAAATTTGTTTATAAGATTAACATAAAAATATATTTACCAATAAAGTAAACCATAAAAATATTTTTTTATATTCTTAATAGAAAAATTTATTTAATATTTTATATCGTTTAACTAGGCTGATACAATTTAATTATTATATGGTTGATATGAGATTGATTTTTTTTTAAAAATATTTATATATGACACATACTAAATATTTAAAAATTTAGTGATTAAAATTATGTGATATTATATTAACTTAGGTTAAATAAAAAATTTTATTTAAGCTTTTGCTTTGTTATAGATAATAACAAATGAGAAATGTATGTGAAGTAACTTAATCTGATAGTATCTCTTCTCTAATTATTTCTATTACTCCCACACAACATAAAAATACTCCTAAAAGTGTATTTACTGATTCTAGATCGGGTGACAATTACGATATTACATGTCAATTCCAATCCCAATCCCAATCTGATACACTTCCTATTTCAGTGGATAGAAATGATTGTGATGCAACTGATGATAGAAAAAGAAAGAAAGATATCAGTTGTATGGAATCACTTTAAAAAAAATTATTAATGGAGAAGAAAAAACTATATTCAATTATTGCAACAAGGAACTAATAGATAGAAAATCAGATGGAATAAATCATTTGCATAAATACTTTCAAATTTGTAAGAGTAGGCCATATAAGAATATAAGACAATCAATCTTATTGAGAGAACAAAAAAAAAAAATAAACAGATCATCCACTTATTTGAGTAATCATCACTTTGATCTAAAAAAATCTAGAAGAGATCTTGCTTTTATGATGATAATTTATGAGTATCCATTTTGTCTGGTGAACCATTTGGAGTTTAGAGCATATTCACAGAAAAATCTAAAAGAAATCTTATTTTTTATTTATACTTAAACTTTGTTTGGTAGTTCCATATTAATTTTTGTATTATTATGTTACTTATGTAAAATTATATAAACATATCTTTTTAAAGTGTTTTTTTTTCCTTAAATAAGTGCAAATAATAAAGACAGGTATGGGTATGTGGGTACTAAGAGGGTATGGACATGTCGATTAAAATTACTACCCACGTAAATATAGGACTAAGTACAAATATTTTTTTAAAATGCAGATATAAAGATAAATTCTGCAATATCCTACCCATTGTCATCTCTACTCTCAAAGGCACAGAAAATATGTTAATGTTTCATTCAAATTTAGAGGAGTTTTCTTTAAGGTGAGGCTAAAAAATAAATAAAAAAAAGATATCTTAGATAAAGTAGACTGATGTTTGTCAACCTAAGATCGAGCAAAGGGAATCAACTTGGAGATAAAAAAGTAGAATAATTCCATTTAAGCCTTCTTGGTAAATGGTGATGAAGGAAAAGAAAAATCTTTGGTTAATTTAAAACTTTGAAATCAAGGTACGGTAAATCAATTTTGAGCCCCTTAAATCCTACTGGCTAATGTAACTTCAATAAACTTTAACTCAAAAAGAGATATGTTGATCGATAGGTGAATGAATGTAGAGGTCGAACTTGGTTTTTGGGTGGGTTGTAGAAAAGAATAACCAATGGATGTTCTGTTTCATTTTGGGATATTGAAATCTGGATTGGAAATTAAAGTGGAGAAATACCTCTTTACTTAGTTAGCTTTTCCTATATCAGTTATCTTTAGTTACTCTAGAGACAGTAATATTGCTAAGATATTACAGTATCTATATTTATATTTTAAAAAATACACGCATATACTTTTATATTTGTTGGATAATATTTTTTATATTTCTTTTCATAGTCGTTGATTATCTAAATTTTCATTTTCCTATTAATTATCCACATTTTATTAATTAACAAATAATTTTTAAAAAATAAAATTAATAAAACATTCAAATTTTTATAAAACAAGAACATGTTTTAAAAATACTTTAAACAAAAAAACACAGTTACAAATAAGATTATTAATCTACATTAAAATAAAATACTAAATTACAATATAATATATGTATCAAAATTATTTATCTATTTATGTGTGTGTTTATATATATTTATTTTATATATATTAGTAGAAGTAAATGAATACAAATATAAACAATGTAGTGTTCATATCCATACTTGTATCTATCAAAGTTTGTGTATATTTATTTTAGGCTGGGTTTGGTACTATGTGTATTGTTGACTTGGATTTAATATTTCCCTTCCTCAAATTTGTTTATCATTACCATCAATTTTGTACTTTGGTTAAATTAGGTAAGGAGAAACAAAATTAGATAATGATTTGGCATGGTCTTAATTTCAAAATAAGATTCTTCTCAGAAATAAATTATATGTGACAACTAATATTTTGAAAATATAATAAATACCACTTTTGAGATTTTAATTTTCAATAAAATTCAATGATGTTTTGTTATTGTTGCATCTGACCGCACATAATAGGATAATACTTTATGGTTATTTGAAATGAATCATGTGATTTAATTTGTTTGGTAGATAACATTTTGGAATTGTTCTGCAGCAAAATTATTTATTATATTTTTATAAATTTAATATAATAATTGTATATTTTATTATAAATTTTTTTTATTTATACATATTTAAACTTGTACAGAGATAAACAAAACTCTCTAAAAAATAATTTTCATCTGAAAAAACACATAGTAAGAATGGCACTGATAACACACTAAATATGCAGTCAGACATCCCATACTTTAATGCCGACTTTGTCATATCCCAATATCATGAAATCTAATTGGCTTAGAGCCATCTTTATCTGCGCATGTCTCGACCAACTATACTTCCAATTTACTGCACTCAAATGCCAATAAACTTCCTACGCTATTATTTATTTATTTAATTTTGTTATATTCTTTTTTTTTTCTCTTTTTTACACAAACTTTATACTAAAAATTTGTATTCTTTATCACCTGAGACTCCGCAAAAACTCTGCAAATTCTAATCTGAAAACAAGTCTCAGCAAATACATTCAAACCTTTAATTAATCCAAATAAAAGAGGTAGCTTTAAGCAAGCACAACTAAATCACTTCACTGTTTATACATTAAAAACATGCCCAGACCCAATAATGGATTTGGCTTGTAGTCACTAGAAATGAGTCCTCAACTTGAAGCATTGACAAATCTGATAATGGGCCGTCTCAATCAGAATTGGGAAGAGAAGTGGAGAGCGGGAAGCAAATAGAGCCTTTTTTCTTTTTCTTTTAACATATATAATATATGAATACATTTTTTTTCTTTTAACACACATGCAAAATACATATTTAATATTTTATCTGATAAATTGAAATATTTTATTAAAAATAGAATTATTCATTAATTGAGACTAACATAAGCAAGATGCATTATTAATAACATTACATCTTTTAAATTTTCAAATAAAATTTTAGCTTATAAAGTTAGAATTTTTAAAATTAAAATTTAAAAACATAAAGAAAATGAAAGCATAGATGACAAGTTATCACTCACATTAACTACATGCCATATTATGAGTTAAATCGAATGTTATATAGATATATACTAGAAAAAAGTAATGAATTACCAATAGAAGAACAACATAGAAAAAAAAATGAGACTTATTTTAAAAAAATAGAAAATAAAAAATAATATAAGATATTTGCTATATTTTAGGAGGAGCAAAACCTTATTTAAGTCAATAATTTTCCACTTCATAAGATATCAAATGCTTCTTTCTTATATATTATACAATTTTAAAATTTCTTAACCAGTATGCACTCATCAATAAAGTCATTGTATAAATATAAATAAGAAAACTTAGTCGAAACGTAGAAACAGGTTAGTTTTCAAAATAGCAACTAAATTCACTCACTGAGTTAACCTGTCCTGATTGGCATTGCGGCCCGTATACGGTATACGAAAAAAAGGGGAAGATCACGCACAACTTATAATGTTATAAATAAAATATTTTAATGATTTGTGTTGACGTTTCATGTTTACTTTTATTGTCTAAATTATTATTATTTTTATCTGTCACTTTAAAGTTTTGTCACAACAATTAAAAAATAAGGCAGCTTATTATATTTGTAAAATATTTAATTCCTTATTATATCCTTTTATCCATCTTTCTTATTAACTAACTACCTTGTTTACAATTAATAGTTAATATTATTTCAAGTTTTTAAAAATGACAAAAACAAAAAGAAAGGATTTAAAGGACCGAGGAATAAAAAGAATGGAGAAATAAAGTAAAATTAAATTTCAATTAAAAATTAATAAAAATACTTATAATAATATTATGCGAATTTTGTCATTTTCCTAAGTTTGTACTGAAAATGAAACAGTGCACTGACACCATGTAATGCCGCAGGTGAAGAAGCTATAAAAAGATTAAATACAACATGGTGAGGCTCTGCTGCAATACAGCCTGGTCTGTCTACCCCCGTGAAACAATCTTTGAGCAATGTGGGGCCGGGGGAGCCGAAACATATGTACTATTCACAATTTTGAATAATGCTTCCTACAGTCTTTTTAGTATATCTTTTAATGTTTTCATACAATATTAACATGTTCAAAATACAAAAACAAAACATTAACTTCAATTGTTATTCAAAAATGCTATCAAAAAATGATGCTATGAAAGCACCTTGGGGACTAGGTAGTTCAACAGCCCTAAAATTTAGACGCCCACTATCTCTTAACTTTTTAGGTTGACAGTATCTTCTATCCTGATATTACAGAAATTTTGATATCTTTATATAATTACTTTTGTTTTCATGTTTGAATATATATCGATTTACATTACTTCAGTATTGTTAGTTGTAATAATAACTTTTGTACGAATTCACGTTTCCATGCTTCCAAACTTGTTTCCAAACATAGATTATATTTCTCTACTAACGTGAAGTGTAATCTAGCTAGAATGACATCCAAAGAAGGCTTGAGGAGTTCAAATAAATAAAATTTCAAAATGAAAAGAATTAAAGATCCTTGAAACCCAATATGAGTAACTCAAGGTTTAATGAGATTTTGTAGCGCAATTGAGACATCAGCCGAAATATTTAAAGCTTGAGTGGGATATTATGTTTGAAATTCGAACCTTCCCTCCTGTTTTTCGAAGTTCATCTCCTTCATTCTAAGTACAAGTTTCACAATTTCAAATTACAAAAACATGCCCTCTATGAACCACCGAAACAGGTCAATGGGAGCATGAACGTGCAGACAAGAAGCTTAGACAATATGACTTGATCATAAATTCATAATACCGATCAACTGAAGGAATAAGATATCAATATCATTACTAGTTTCTGCTATTCATAACAGTACTTTTAACAAAGCAAACGGTAAGCAATGCACCCAAATAATAATACATACTGTAAGCAACAAGCAAGCTGCACATAAACTTATTTACAAGCACACTATGAACTTTTCTGCCCATTACAAAAATAAGACCGCCTATATACTTTGTAAGTCGAATTAGAATTACAATTCAATTCTACTGTACTTTTCAAGCGTTCAACAAGATTAGTCCTCAATGTACAAAGTTCAAAATTTCATGTTGTATCACATGATGTCTTTGTATTTTGTGATAAATCAAGGAAATGTTCACCATATTGAGGATTTCAATATTCAGAATGTATTCAACTGGGAAAAGCGCCACATTGCAATTGCCATTCCATGCAATCTTCAAAATCAAAACTGCTTGCACAACCCAATAACGCGTTTTGTTGTTGTTCGTAACGGCATATGTAATTCAGTCCTATGAGAAGCTGGCATATAGTGTCCTCTGTCTTGTCCTTATCAGCGAAGTATAATGTCTGAAATAGCAGCACATTTGTCCTGCTAACAATTTGGTGTTGCTCAAAATTCCTCTCACCTTGCCATCTGATCATATTATGGGCAAGTGGAGCAAGCCACTTAAGTATCCCATCAAGAGTCACCTTCCAATCATGGGCAAGAGGGGCATCATATATGGCCAAGTTTTTGACATAGGTCTTAAGTTTGCCTTTCAGAGATAACCTTAAGCTCGCTGGTAGCATCTGATATAGATCATCCCTAGCTTCCTCACCAACTAAATGTGGATAGCTGAGGAGTTTCTCTATGACAATTATGACATTGGCATAGTGCAATGCCAGAGCACAGCCTCCAAGAGTAGAAGGAGGAGCATAAACAGCTAATCTGCTCTTGGGACCAAAGGTTGAGCAATTTTGAACACCAAATTGGACTTGCCTTAGATCTCCAATGAAAGGAACACCACTTTGAGCGTGATTTTGACCACCAGAAGAATGGCAAAAGTGCACCCTTTTCTTGATATTACTCTCAATCCCAACACTATGACAGCTTGATGTGTGATTGTATTGGTCCTCATGTTCAATAACATAATCTTCATCATCATCAAATTTTGAAACTGAGCTGCTTAAACTTAGACAATCCATGAAAAGTCTCCCCGGACTTGTTCCACAAGGAAAACCAATATCTTCAACTTGAAGATATGCTAATTCACCTCTCCTTGTGTCCATGCGAGGCCTACTAACAGTTCCCTTCGTCTCCACAGCAATTCTCCCAGTCAAACCCAAATGACAACCATTTCTCTTGCCATGATTGTTTTTCAACTTCTCTGAACTCTTAGGAACACTAATCTGGCCAGACACTAACCCACATTCATTTTGCACAGGTGATGAGCCCCCACTAAGACCAAGGCTATTCCTCCTCACATTAGAATCGCCAAAGATCATACAAATCCTAGCATAAATGGTACAAACTGTCCGGGCCAACAACTCAACAACCTTATCAAAGGTCTGATTCCACAGTGAAATCTCCTTTAGACGCCTCACATCTTGCTTTTGCCATGTGAGTTTTTGCGCAAACGCTCTTCTACTCTCCTCATGCTGGTTTTGCTGAGACTTCTTCACTGCTAGCTCCAACTCATTCAAAACCCCCATTTCACAGTACAAACTCCGGGTGGCACTAACATACCTATCCATCTTCCTCACCATTCCTTCCATATGCTTAACCAAGAACCCCAGTTCCTTCACATCTATAACCCCACTAACAATGTCCCCATACACATGCTCAAAACCTTGCAAAGCAGGCACAGAGCACTTATTCCCCAACCTAGAAACCACACTAGCAACACGGTTCAACTCCTCAAGCTTCTCTGCTTTTGCTAGCTGGAGGAGGTAAGCCTCTTCAGAGGAAACCAAGTTTTGAACACCCTCTGAGTTGGAGATTTCATTCCTGAGCTTTACTATCTCAGACTCTGACAAAGATTTGTGAAGGTGAACAGTTTTGGACATCACATTTGCTACTTCAAATGAAAGAATCCCTATCATTACTTTGCTCTCTTCCCTTTTAATATTCTGTTTGCTCTTCGCAGAAACTTCAAGAAGAAGAGCTTGCTTGAGATTGGCACTTACCTGGTTACCCATCTTTACAATCCAAGCTTCAGCAACCATACTGACCACTTTCACCAAAAAAACAAAAGGTTCCCAAAACTCTCTATGAATACCAGAACTCAAGCATGAAGGTCAGGGTTTGTGAGAGAAACCGCACGATATGACCCAGTGGCACTAATAAGCTGTTAAAGGCGCAAACTTTGACGCTGAATTATGTTTCTGGCAATGGAATTGTTGGTGGGTCATGCATAGTATGCGAGAATTTGGGTGTAATAAAATGGAAGGTGCAATGACAACCATGGGAAAGTGGAGGGAAAGAAGGAGCTAAAAAACAGAGGAAAAAAATGTATTTGGGTAGGGTAGGGTAAGGAGGAAAGAGAAAGAGGGAAGGTTATTCGCCTTCTGAGTTGATTGCTGTTTCGAAGGTATCTACCCGAGTTTTCAAAAAGGATGTCAGAATTTTGAAAAGTAGAATCGGGTGTCACAATTTTGAGGTTAACTACATGACTGGGTTGCTTCCATTCAAAGCACCATGTTGAAACTTTCAGTTGCCTGCCCAAAGACGTGACTCCAATAAATATTTAATAAACAGAATTAGCGAAATCAATGATAAAAAATATATGTGACATAAGATAGTCAGATGATAACAGATATTTTTTTATTTTCCCTGAAATCCATTTTGAAGTCTTGATAAATAGGTTTGCAGTATATGTGTATCGAAAATGTTAATCAAAGAATAAATGATATATACATATATAGTAAATTTTATTAAAAATAAATATATTATAAAATTTAATATATTAATAATATTAATGCTATCATTATTAATAAAAATATTATTTATTTATTTTTATTATATACTTTTAGGCCCATATTGAAAAAATTATTTTATTTAAGTGTTGACACAGCTATATTTTAACTCGAATTCAAATGTTACTATTAACTTAAACAATTTTTTAATAACTAGTTTCGGTGTTATTGGCAGTTTCTTGTTAAAGTGGTGATAATAGAAAAGTTAGTATTATAATTTTTTTAATAAATTCTGTAAAATTATATGAATTATACTTTTTACTTAATAAATTTATTTATAATATTATAATTTTTAATAAATTTTAGTTAATAATAAAAAAATTTGTTAAAAACTATGTTATTAATACTCTCTTGTCTAATATTTCATGTAGCAATGCTAGTCTAATATTTTGGGTTTTTTTTTTTACAAAAATATAACTTTTTAAATACAAAATTACGCATGTGTCTTGAAAACTTATTTTTTTACGTAAATATCCTAAAAGTAGGTCACTAAAATTGATTAAAAATAATTTCTCTTCATTGCAGAACAATATTAAGTCAACTTTGGTTTTGTCCATCGTGCTCCAAAGAAGTTGATCAAAGTCGACTTTACTGCTACAAAGAAATCGATTTAAGTCAACTTGCATAGTAAGGGTAAAATGATTAAAATTGACTTCAGTGTCATTTTGAAGACAATTATAATCGACTACTATATATTTCAAATGAGAGAGAGCCGAGACTAGAGAGAGAGAAAGGAGACCAGAGAGAGTGAGATCAGAGAACAACAGAGACAGTGGAGACGACAGAGAAAGATAGATAATGATCTATATCAGCTTAATTTTATTGATCATATTGCAAGCAAGCTGTTAACACAAGTAAATTAATTTTTAAATATATTTAGTTAAATTATAATTAATTATTTATGTATATCTCAAATGAGAGAGAGAAGAGACTAGAGAGAGAACTGAGACTAGAGAGAGAGAAAGGAGACCAGAGAGAGCGAGATCAGAGAACAACGGAGACAGTAGAGACGACAGAGGAAGATATATAATGATCTATATCAGTTTAATTTTATTGATCATATTACAAGCAAGTTGTTAACACAAGTAAATTAATTTTTAAATATATTTAGTTAAATTATAATTAATTATTTATGTATTTAATTTAATATATTATTAATTTTGTAATTATATGTTTAGAAAGATGTGTAAATGTTAATAATTATTATATTGTAAATTAATTTTAATTGTTTTTTATAATTATAATTATTATATTGAGGAATGCAAATAAAATTCTATTATATATTTTTAATTATTATGATAATTTAGTTTTGTATTCTAGTAATTTGTAATTATAATAATATTGTTATAATGTTTTCATTTAAATCTTGTATATACTATTTTATTATTGTACATAATAAAAGTAGGCGTTATAATATGATAGTTGTTCCAGATTTAAGAATGGAACCATTTTTTAGATAAACTAATTTTTGGCATGTTGCACAGATGATCCTAATATTTGATAACGATAGGGCACTTATAAGTGCACTTGTAGAACGTTGGAGGCCTGAATCACACACATTTCATCTTCCATACGAAGAATGTACAATCACTTTTGAGGATATTGTGTTTCAACTAGGCTTACGTGTGGATGGAGTCCTTGTGAGTGGTTGCATTGAAGCGTGGGAGAAATTTTATGATCCAAATTTATGGGCATTGTGTGAAGATTAACTTGGAGCAGTTCCTGATGAAAGAAACATAAAAGATTTTTCGTAAATCTACAGTGGTTCACAGATATATTTGGAGCATTACCTCACAATGCTGATGACAAACTATTATCCGTTACACTAGAGCATATATAATGGTTCTATTTGGTGAGGTATTATTTATAGATAAATCAAGATTTAGAGTTCATATGAAGTAGTTACCTTTTTTAACTAATTTTATTGAGATTTCAACTATAGTTGGAGTTTTGTTGTTCTAGCATCCCTTTATCGTGAGCTTTGTCGTGCGATGAAATATAATGTCACTAAAATTGTAGGTTGTTTACCTCTTCTATAGTCTTGGGTATGATACAGAATACCTCAGTTAATCCCTAGGCACTATCATCCTCTCACTTTTTTACTAGCATTGAGGTACATTTATTTATCAATATATTAATTTTTGTTATTTATATAAGTTAAATTTTCAAGTAAAAACTAATTATGCTCATTTCAAGTAAAAAAAGTTTTAGGTCATCAAGGAGATCAAATACGGATAAGTTATTGTGATATAGAAGAATCATTAATTTAATTGGTATTACTGGGATAAGTTTAAACAGGGTGTATGCTACTAACTTTTATTTTAAATAATTTTATTTTTTGGTCTAATATTTGTTATTAATTATTTCAATTTAGATGGACGCCCTACAACAACAATGAGGTCAAGAACATTGCACCTCCTTTCGTGTATGATGAGGTTGATGTTTGGGCATTTGTGACTACTCTTATACAGTTTACTGTAATTGAATGATACCCTGTTAATCGCGTGGTTCGACAATTTGGTGGAGCACAACACATATCAAACAGCCCGATAAATATTGATTGATTGCATGCTAAGGATGAGCGGGGTGATCTAGATATATGATGGCCTAATTATCATGTGACATGGCATGCTACATGGGAGGTACATAGGGAGCGACGAGTTCAATATCCTCTAGCTGATGATGATCGTCTCTCTATCAAGTATTTCCAGTGGTACTTGTCAATCGCTAATAGATTTTTGCCATTGGATGGAGCTCCATAGGATGTAGAGCTATCTGATGAGACATATATATCAACTAACGCTCCAGCACACAATGTACAACCTGATGCAAATTCCATTGTACAGCCTACATCACACCATGTATACCACTCAACACCCAGCGAGCATTTCATGTCAAGACTTAGCCAACAACAATACATGTCTGGCCCTTCTCAGCACGAGTTCATGCTGGACCCTAGCCAACCATGTATGGCTCTCATCCAGTAGTTTATGCCAGATTCTTTTTTTACTGTCAGTCCTATGCAATATTTTGTCACAGGTCTAGCTTAGGGTGATATTGCACAACATATATCTTTCAGTCCACCTTTCATGTCAGATGTTGAGGTTATATCATGGCTACATTAATCTAATACATGTGCACCAGTTCAAGAGGTTTAACCATCAGATCATTTCTATCAACCATCGCTAAACGCATATCTGAACTCCCTCTTTTCAAGGCTCACATCAGGAGGAGGAAGAGGATGACTAGGATGAAGAAGCGGATAAGCAAGAGGAGGAACAGGAGGAAGAGCATGTACATCATAGACCAGTGCAACAGATTGTACATTGTCACTGTGCAACAATGAGTCACATTGCCTGCCCCAGATGCAATAGGCGTGGCCTATAATGTTTCATATCAATATGTATGGTAGACTTTTAATTTGGTTGATGTAATAGTTTTAATTATGAAAACATGTTGGTTTACAACTTTTAATATTAAGTGCTTTTTCTTTTAAATTTATGGACTTTGGTCTTTTTATTATTCAAGTATGGTGGTGTAAGACATTTATATTTAATCGACTTTAGATGTTATGTAATTTGAAATATATCAATTATATATTTTAGTTTAGCTTGGCTAAATACATCAAATGATGGTAGATAATAAGGCGATAGAAAATAAATATTCGTTAAGAAAGTAGTTACATAAGCTTGACAATATTACTTTTAGTACACAAGGAAATAAGGTGATAAACAATAGATATACTACAACAAATTAAACTTAATAATAATAGTTTTACTACATAACACACTGAATCAATAATGTTGGCTAGAGGATGGAGCATGTGGGCATGTCTGTCTAGTATGATCGATACTTCTATTCAATCCACATCGTTTTTCCTAACTCAAATCAATCTTATCCATTTCATTGTGAAACTTCATCGAAACCGGACGACCCTCAAGACTTTACTTAAATGCAGGATTTGGTCGTATAGGAAGGCTAGTGTATGGTGGCCACATATCTTCATCAAGAATTGAAGAAAATTGTGCTTTATACACACTAAACACGAACTCCATGGTGGAAACATCGCGTACAAAAGAGGTTCAATCTCTTCGAGCGTCAGAGCACGTAGCGAGTGCATGACGACATGGATAATGTAATTTTTGAAATTTTTCATAGTCACACTATCACTCGGTTAAATGCACCCAGAATTCCTGTCGACCACGACTTCCCATGTTGTCTCTTTCAAACACTAAGTAAAAACAGGCATC